TACAAAGAAATAACTAAAGAAAGTCTATTCTATCCATCATTTATTGAACAATGTAATTAACAAAGAATCAACCGCTTCATAGTTTTATTTCTGTTAGAACTAGCCGTCCTCTCATAGTATGAATTGAACGTACTATATGCGTGTGTATGTGCTATATTCAGCACCTTCGAGTGGATCGTACAATTTAAATGGGACATGTTGTTGAATTAAATACAACATTCGATATTGTTTACAGCGGTAGAATGAAATGTTATCATTGTTTGGTTTAACAAGTAGTTCAAAACATTATTATAGTTCTAGTACATACGTTATTTATTTTTATTTTTTCTAAAGCAGATTCATGCATTGACAAATTTATTCCCACCATAAAAACATAGCAAATGTCAAAGAAGTCTTAAGGTGTTGTCCAAACTGAAGCTTATAATGTTTTTTTTTATTTATTTTCTATTTCTAAAGGCAATGAAATTAGATTTGTGTGCAAGATGGACACCAGCATGCGTCATTACCTAGGTACATAGGTGGTTGTTTTGAAATGCTTATACTATACTCCACAGCATTTATAATTTATATCTGCAAATATATGCATATAAAATTAACCATGGCAACATTGAAATAGCAATTGGTTAAAAGATTTACCTGCAATCAGATATATATATAAATATATGTATGGCTTTGACATCTGTATTTTCACATTTAGTACTTCACATCAGGGATGGATTCTATTCCTTGCTTGTTACCTAAAACCTGTAAAACAGCTTCTCTTCTAGTAAAAATGTGAACTGTCCGCAAATTTCTTATTTGCATATGAAGCCCGGATGGCAATTGTTATTGACATCAATGACCCTGACTGACCCCAAAACGTCATAAAATGACGGCCCGTGATGATACTCGTTTTGGATTTTTTCATATTTGCTCGCCAGAGGCTCGCAAACATAAAAAACAAAAACTTATCATAAATTTGATATGAAGGGAAACTTATGACAGATCCTCTATTTATTGGCCTATAATTAAAAACTGATTCTCATTGTTTCATAAACATCTTATCATTGAACAATACATTATGTGTGTGTGTGGATTGTTTTCAAACAAACTATACACATACACACTCTTCCTGACGCCTTAATCACTTGTGTTACAAATTCAAACACATATGCCGTGTTTTACTTGTCTTGGACAATTAGCCTTTTCAGTTATGGGAACATACTCACTTTTTATCGTTTATACATACCCCAATGCTATACTCTCTTGATTGTAGAATCAACTGAATCAACTTATATCCTATTACATATACTGACCTGCAAAGTTAGGTATTCATTTTATAAAGTGCATCAAATAATCTTGCTTCATCATGATAACGTCGATTTTAAATCGTAAATGCAAATCTTAATAATTGGAGACACTTTTTACCGCGAATCAGGAATGCCGTCAAGTACCAAAAAGGCATACCGTCTTTCAATTTATACCGTTTTGACGACTTTTTATTATCAACTCTTCGGCCATTAGCATTACCGATGAGTCCTGGAATGATGCAGTGTAATAGAGTTCAGCATATCTTATCTTTTACCAAATGTTAAAAGTGCATTCATCTGTGTGTGTTATATTTGTTGTTAAGTACCTTTTAGTTGTTTGCACTAGTTAGATATGACGTTGTTAAATGATTGTTATGTTTGGCTTACTGTTATCAAAAACAAAATAATAAAACAGGTACTGTCTAACTTCGTTTTTTAGTAAGTACCTGATTTATTGTCCTTTTGGCTGCAATCATTTAGAGTATAATTTTAAATATTTCTATTTAAAACAGCTTAATGCATTCAAAAACATTACCCATCGCATATAGGCAAAGAAAATGCAACAGAATAGAACGGTATGTTACAAAAAGGAGCTGGTATATGAAATGTTCAATCTGTAAAGTCGGCCATTGTTTTTTTTATGTAAAATGGACACCAGGAGGCCACTAACCTGTATACGTCTGCTTATGAAATGCTGAATAACCAGAAGGCCCAGGATAATAATATTTGGCCAATAACATGCTGGGATGAAGAACTACCAGGTTTGTTCAAATGAATGAACTTTGCCCATATTCAAGGTCAAATATGGGCCAAACATGTTTAAACTTTTAAACAACTTCTTCGAAATAATCAAGAGGCCCAGGCTGATGATATTTTGCCAGTAGCAAGCCCGCCCAAAGGGCTACCAGGTTTTTTCAAATGAATAGCATTTGCCTATTTCCAAGGTCATAGTGGTCAAATATGTAAAAATCTTTAAACAACTTCTTCTGTATAGCCAAAATGTACAGGGTTATGGTATTTAATCAGGAGGATGTTGAGATGAAGGACTACAAAGTTTGTTTAAACAAAAGACCTTCGCCCATATTCAAGGTCACAAGGGTTATTTGTCTTAAAAACGATTTCTGAATAACTTTAGCTTCCAGGGTGATTGCTTGTTCACGTGAATGACTTTTACACTTTTTCTAGGTCACATCTGGTCCACAGTGCATAAATCTATAAAATACACAAAAGGTATAGGGCCATTAGGGTGGCGATTTTTGACAAGTTGCATTCTGTGATGAAGGCTATAAAGTTTGTTCAATTTAATGGCAATGTTTGACTTTTAAGGTCACAGGGGTCATATGTGTTTAAATCATTTAACAGGTTCTTCAGAATGACTTAAGTCAAGACCGATATATTTTGCCTGTAACTTTATGTTATTCCTCTTTTAAAGTTACAATTGTGAAACTAATACCAGGTGAGCGATGCAGGGCCATCGGACCTATTGTATTGAGGATTGAACGGAATTCTTTTCAATTTCATACCGGCATGAACATTGAAAAATGCCTTTCAATCCTTATATTTATATTCTAAATATTTACTTATTACTGACCTCAATATAGATATTTCCGGAAATTTTCGATATTGAAGTATATGTGTAGTTAGTGCAAACGAGATTCCCGAAACAGCCTTACGTCACCAGAATGTTTGCTGATTCTAACGGTTGTCTCATGTTATTCGAGCGGGCGAAGATTCTTCAAATTGCGTTCATAGCTCTTTTAACGTAATTTCCTCGGGTGATGCTTATTGGGGATCTTGTAGCGGATATGTAAATATTCCTGCATAGCTTTTAAACGTGACGGAAATTAAACTTGAAGATATAACTATGTATATGTCATTTATTTTTCGAAATATTCGTTCATTTATGATATAAATTGAAAATAAATATCACTCTTTATATTTTCATTTAGTGAACAAATATGATAAAGAACTGACAAGAACCCCAAACTATATATATATGCATTATAACGAATTTTCAATCCGCCTGAAGAAGTCCTAGAAGGCAGAAAGGCCTAGCGGACGATCTGGAAATTTTTGTTTTTATTCTATATTTTCCTTCGCAAGGACTTATTTATTTATTATCTACTGCATTATAACGATATATTTATAAACCCTGTGTAAAATGAACAGCTATATTTTCAAATTAATCAAATGTTCTTTTGATAAACGCACGAATATAGTCTTGAGTGATATTAGCTGTATCTAATTAGACGAAGAATATGTTCTCAGTAATAATGCATGAATAACGTAACTAGGTAGTTGTATTTCTTCATAAAGGTACATCTATATGTCCTTTATCAAATACTATTCGGGTTGCTATGTTTTGTGTTCGTCATATCATCACAGTCCCGTTTGTATAAGTACAACCAGGATGTGTATATAACATCCAGTAACATCATCATTTCTGCATGTCTTTTATCTCAAATAGCCAGTGTGACAACATCGCCGCTGACAAATTAAAAAGTTTCGAAACACGTCGGTCAATCCTAACCATAGACAAGTTTTATGGCCGCCGTCGTAATCTCGTTTGGATTTATTTTTTGTGTGATATGGAGGTCGATGCATTTGTAATGTACTTTTGTTTACACTACATCAGTTCTCGCTGTGAGGACGTGATATTATTTTTTATTTAACCGTCATTTTCATGGCGGATGCCGTCAAAGCCCTTCCAGTACACATAACCTTATTTTCCTTGTATACTTTCAAGAGTCTCGGAACTGGCGGCCAGGGTTCGACCCCACGATCGGATGTAAAAAGGTTGTGGTCACCTGCCCGACCACGTGGGTTTTCTTTGGGTACTCCGGTTTCCTCCCACATCAAGACCCCCTCGTTCTAACATCTGGGCCAACAAGAGTTATTAATATAAGTTGAAATAACTTTTTTCATAATTGTTGTAAAATAAATAAAGTTCACATATTCAGATGAGTGTCAATTAATGTCTCTACGTATTACTTGCGGTGAATGATATGCATATTTGAAGGATTGGTCGTTATGATTTGGGGAGGCCTTTCTAATGGTGTTAAACCAAATTCGATTTTTATCATGGCAATCGCATGGTCCTTAGATATCAGGAACATATCTTTCAGTCCGATATTATTTCACTTGTCCGACAGCGGAATCTAACGTTCCGATAACACAATGCAAAGCCACACGTTGCAATGGTATCTTGCTTTTGTAGCCCAAAACAATGTCTAAGTAATTGATTCGCCAACCTACAGATCAGACTTTCCTCCATTAAACATATGTGGAACAAATTGGACAAACTGGTTTCAAAACGCGCAAACGCCCAGCCCAGTTGACTCAGAGACTTTTGGATGAATAGGATAAAATCCCAGTCCAAAGGATAAACAAGATGATGGTTTATATGGCGAGGAGGGTACAGGCCTGGAGATTTGAATGCACACTGTTTACGAGTATGGATGAATCTATCTTGACACAACAGCTTGTGAATGATTTTCTTCTCATAAATTGGTTATTTTACTGTTTAACTAAATCTAATCACAAAAAGTCATTTATTCAAAAGTTCCAAACGGAATTCGTTAAGTCCATCTAAGAAGGATGTATATGTGTTGTGTTAATAAGTGTGTCAATCGCTCTGAACACATGTCACTAAAATGTACAGGTTAAACATGAACACATTTGTTAAAATAAGTAGTTTGTAGGATGAACCAATTAAACATCTCCTCGACACTTGAATTGGTTATCACTGACACGTACTGCCAATCCCAGCCTCTGAGTAGCCTCTACCCGTATAGCTTTTTTGTCTGATTTTCCGTTACCTATTTTAGGAAAGATTTTGAACTGCAAAAAATACATTGGCATTTCCCCCAGGGTATCGAGTGTATGCTCCGTAAATAGGTTCTGCCTGCAGTTCTGTTGTACGTCTTCAGGAGTGATTTGCCCGGAAGGTACAAAACACACATATATCTCTTCGTACAGCCTTTTATCCGGTACAGGTAACACGCAAACGTCTTTCATCGACTTCATCTTTTTCAGTAGGAACTCCAACATACCAGGGTATATCTTTCGAGTGCCTCTCGATATAGCATCGGTTTCTCTTCCAAGTAGAATGAGATGTCCATTCGATGATAGTTCACCTATATCACCTGTTCTAAACCATCTGTCTCCTGTGAAAGCCGCCTTCGTGAGCTGCGGACAACCAACATATTCTTTCATTTGTTGTGGTGAGCGGATCTGAATCCTACCTATACATCCTCTCTCAATTGGAAGTTCTTGCCGGTCAACAACTCTGAGTTCCACACCAGAATAGGGTAGACCAACGTCCCCTGCCTCAAGAGGCTCATCACGTTCGATTGGGCCTTTCATAGTGATGCATGTGCCTTCAGTACAAGCATATACAACCATCATTCTGTGACAAAAGTGTTCGATGATTTGTGTGTAGTAGTTGTCTATTATCTGGCCACCAGTCACGATGTGTTGCAGCCTGAATCCATCATCTGTAACAGCGCAAGCAAATCATTGATTGCAAATGGTAGCAGCAGAGCGTCAGTGCATTTTTCTTCTTTCAGAATCCGCCATAGAAAGTCTGCGTTGTCACTTTTGATTGTTACTCCTGCATCCAAAAAGACCCTTGTTTCGCTTCGCAAGATAGTATAGACAGGTGAACCTCCACTCCAGGCAAATGGTCTGTCATTGAACATAATGACATTATAATCCACTGTAGGTGGAATCAAGATAGTGGATAACATACAAAGTCGAAATGAGAATGAAAAACCATCTTTTGTTTGCCAGTGCTTCCGGATGTGGTGAAGATTATCGCATTGTCTTCAGGGTGATTGTGTGGAAGATCCACGCCATCCATGTTCTGTGATTGTATGTTTTGCAAAGTTTGTGTCGTCTTGTAACCATTCATGTCTGTTTGGCGGAGGAATATAAGCTTAATCCTATCATCCTCTCATCTCTTGACGGAAAGGTGAAAATTGTTGTCTTTTCCGCAATTAACCAAGATGCACTTAACACGCACAACTTGAAACAATTCCTTGACATCTTCCGAAGTTTTCATATTGATGGTAACATTCAAGACTACAGCTCCAGCTGACATTATTCCTATCATCCCAATCACCATCTCCAGCGTATTCGGCCCTACCAGGGCCACCCCATCACCTTTCGTAATGCCTTATGTAAATAGATACCTCGCTAGCTGATCAGCCTGTTGATACAGACTGACATTGGTCAAGCTTGACCTTGACCCATCTAATTCTCTAAGGATGAAGCGCTCTTGGTTTGGACTTTTACGAGCACTCTCCTTTGCTACTCTGGTTACTGTCGTGTAGTTGTTTGGTTTGACAGACAGGGTGTGGAGATAGCGGAGATCTGACGGGGAATCCATGCAACTACTCTGAAAAGAGGTTAATTGAAGTAAGTATATATGTTGTAAATCAAAACGAACAAGTGTTCCTGTATTCGGGGTTGCGCAGTAATCAAGTTAACCGCTGAACTTTAGAAAAACGAAAAATTCATGTTGTGCATCAAATGTTTGCGGTCACTAAGAATTTTAGTTCCACTGCAATTAAACACTGGTAAACACTAGCTTCCACTTTAAGCACACACAGTAACCAAACCTTAAACTCATTTCGGATGAAACTATAGCGTGACAGGGATACGGTACTAGCGTTGACTTGGTAGCCCAGATGGTTAGAGGGACAAAACAATTATCGGATGTCAATAGTCTTTTTAATCCCGGTCTAGTCCCATTTCCATTTTAACAATCATGACACTATTGTAGATTCTTTTTGTTTATTTCGTCAATATTATTTTTATTGAAATTATTCAAGGAATTATTTGTCTAATGAATAGTAACATTTTTATTAGTGTTTCGGGGATATTGAAGGACATGTCTACTTTGCTTTTGTAAAAGGATTGGGTTTTGAACACTTACTTGTTGTATATATTTCCGTATGTACGTTTCGTGTAACGGAGTGCGTGTACTTCGGGTATTCCCGTTGGGGATTCCCTTCCGGTATATTATTTAGACGTTTCTGATTGGTTTATATTTTTAGGATATGTTACCTTACCTGTACAGCACTCTACGCTCAGGTATGGGTCAGTATCGATTTCAAACACTACATTGCACGTGTATTTCAAATACTACATGGCACGTGCATTTCAAGGCATACAATTAGATTTGGCTATATAGCTGGGTGTTTTTGGTATTGTAAATTAGTCTGGCAGAGGCTTACATGTAGCTGGCCGGCTCGTCTTTACCCTTCTTACGGACAGGTATCAGGTGTGTATTTAGGCCTTAGACCTCAAAATTATTCCGGGCTGGGTGGTATTTTCCCATCGTGGACATGTTTGGGTAGAAATCTCGGTGTTAATTTGGGATGTTTATTTTCCCGTTGTAGGCATGTTGTAATATATTATCGGGGTGTGTTTAAACTTATTCCCCGGGGTGGGATACCGGGTGGACATTTTTGACAGAACATATGTTACACGGTATACTGTTTTAGTATGGACCGGTCGAGTGGTTGACGTGCTGTAGCATTGTGCATATCTATTCATCATGTTTCATCTAATTTACTTCACTGTTTCGCTGGTACATAATAAATTGTAGAACTTTATAAAGCGTGTTGTCATTCATTGACCTGTAGCCAGCTGAAGTTAAGTCGAGACAGAACCACAGAGTTGACGAACGAAAAAAACACTATACGAGGGCAAAACTTTTACACTGGGGCCGTGGCCAGGATCTGTGTAATCTGTTCTTGATTCCAATTATATGGCAATTGCTACGGGTCGGTGTGGACAAAGCACTACTATAATAATGGAACATGAGCAGGCGGATAACGATAGTCGTAATGGTAGGCCGTCCGCACATGGTGTAGTAGGGGGTCCTAAGCCACTTACAATGTCAGCTTTGCCCCAGAACTAAATAAACCCCCGTGTCGACCGAAATCTTCAATTCGAGAGGGTATAGATCAAAATAGCAATACCCCAGTACGTCCATGGACCACAGATATGCTGCACACATCACAGTCCAGTAGGCACGTGCACGATAGTTCAAGGTCACAAGTTGTGTATTCAACTGTTGAGGGGTCGTCTCCAAACGGTATTTACTCATACCTAGTAGATATTGAGTCCGGCACGGGTGGGCACTAAGGGCAATTTCGAACTAGTACCCCTTACCTTAGTTATACCCAAGAGCATCCAGAATGCTGTGGGTCACCATTTCCTAATTTGAATTTCTCTAATGTAACTAGTTCAAATACAAATCATTTAGATCATATTAGACCACAAATGGGCTCTAGTTATTTGTTGGTAGCACAGACTTTAGGGAGTATAGCATTCACTTCGAGCAAGTAGCAGAGTGGAATAGATTGACTGATTGGGGAAAAGCGCAACAACTTATGATGTCTTTATCTGATTTGACATTGCGGAGGCACCTGGTCAGCCGTCACCGGAAAACACAGGCGGAACTATCCAGATACCTGGAGGCTGCGGAAAGCGCGGCCATGGATTTGGGAAGAACGCCAGAGTTTCCCGGGATCATGAGGTCACACCTGACGGGATGATTCGCGATAGCACGCGATGGTATCGGGACGCGGACGCGGGATCGCGGTACACCCCACATGATGTAGACTTCTCCCTATTTCCAGAGCACACAGAATGAACTTATTTTTTTACTAGTGTGTGAGGGGGTGGACACATTTTACATGTACTTGTAAATATGCATTGTACATTGACAGCATTACTCTTTCTGTTATAATTGTTCATGTTTCTAGGAATTATTTTTGGTATTAAGTTGCTGTTCACATTTCTAGCATGTGTAGTAAGGGCCAGGGAAATGTTGTCCACTTATGTGGAGGGGTAATGTGTATTTTTGGTGAGGAATGGAGATATATCGGAATTGAATTTGTTTTTCATGTGCTGTTACTTTAGCGTAAGCAGCCTAATACTTAAGTATTTGGGGCTGATCACAGTTCACCTGCTGTGCATAACACTACATGTAAAGATAAAAATCAGGGTCTTATACAGAAGACAAGGTCCGAGGGATAATTCCATAACCAAGAGATATACATGTAGGTCTTTGGATCTAGAGCATTTGACTTGTGGGCTGCACATCTGGTAATATTTGTGACTTATTTTTCTATGATAATGTTTTTTTTATGATAAAAGTATTTACCTATAAGTGCACTTTTAATGTGGGTTGAATAACGGGTATTAAGGTTTGTTTTGTTACAAGATGATTACATTGTCATTTTTGCTAAATCATCTTATGATGCTGTTGTCATGGTACAATTGCTGTAATGATTGTAAACTTTCTTTTTTTTTTCGAATGTTCTCGAACCATGGACACATGGTTTCATCTAATGTTGTATGATTTTGTGTTTCAAAACGATTGGATGGTGGTACATACCAAATGAGGACATTTGTCTCTTTTTAAGGGAAGGCGAATGTAAAAGGATTGGGTTTTGAACACTTACTTGTTGTATATATTTCCGTATTTACGTTTCGTGCAACGGTGTGCGTGTACCTGGGGTATTTCCGTTGGGGATTCCCTTCCGGTATATCATTTAGACGTTTTTGATTGGTTAATATTTTTAGGATATGTTACCTTACCTGTACAGCACTCTACGCTCAGGTATGGGTCAGTATCGAGTTCAAATACTACATTGCACGTGTATTGCAAATACTACATGGCACGTGCATTTCAAGGCATACAATTAAATTTGGCTATATAGCTGGGTGTTTTTGGTATTGTAAATTAGTCTGGCAGAGGCTTACATGTAGCTGGCCGGCTCGTCTTTACCCTTCTTACGGGCAGTTATGTAGGAGTGTATTTCGGCCTCGGACCTCAAAATTATTCCGGGCTGGGTGGTATTTTCCCATTGTAGGCATGTTTGGGTAGAATTATCTCGGTGTTAATTTGGGATGTTTATTTTCCCGTTGTAGGCATGTTGTGATATATTATCGGGTGTGTTTAAACTTATTCCCCGGGGTGGGATACCGGGTGCAGATGTTTGAGAGGACATATGTTACACGGTATACTGTTTTAGTATGAACCGGTCGAGTGGTTGACGTGCTGTAGCATTGTGCATATCTATTCATCATGTTTCATCTAATTTACTTCACTGTTTCGTTTGGTACATAATAAATTGTAGAACTTTATAAAACGTGTTGTCATTCGTTGACCTGTAGCCAGCTGAAGTTAAGTCAAGACAGAACCACAGAGTTGACGAACGAAAAAATCACTATACGAGGACAAAACTTTTACACAATAACATACCTGCATCTGCGAAAGAGTTAAATACCAATGTACATTGTATATTACTGATTTCATTTCAAATATATTTTATTGATTAAACAAAAGGATTGAGCAACAGGCTTTGCCTATATAAGCTCTGTCCATGGCTTCCAGCATACTTTTGATATTTGAAGACATCGAATACAATATTTACATACATACATTATATTTCAACTCATCTCATGACACTTGGATACATTTATTGCTAGGTAATATACATTTAATTAGGCTTGATTAATATTTTCATGTTTCTACAAAAAAAAATCAAAAAAATCATGTGGTAGATTTGACTTAATTTTATTTTTTTTATTTTTAGTAAAAATAAATAAAAAAATACAAACTTTGCGATATTAATATTTAATATAGTTGTAAAATTTGTGTCAAGAAGAATTAAATATACCGTTATGAATATACACAGTATTCCAAATCGATTTTAATATATGGATATACGTCTTTACCTTGAGCAACTAAAATTTGCTACGCAACATGAACTAAAGCAAAACTGATACATGCATGTATGCTGATGAAGAAAAGTTCCAGAACTTATTTGAAGTAGACATGTCTTGAGATGAATTGGAAAATCAAATAGAAAATTAACTAAAAGAAAACAGAAAAAAAAATTATAAAAAAAATAATATATATATATATAAAAACACAAAAAGAGGACATAAATAATTATATAAGAACACAAAATAATCTCACTCACTCACTCATACACTCTAACAACATTTGTATCTACTGACATGGGTTTGTTGGTTTATTTAATGTAGTTTTTATTTGTTTTAAATGAATGTGAAGTTGGGCATTAGATATGATAATAAAGTACACTAGTTCAAAGGATACAAATATATGGCATTTTGGTATTTCATAATAAATTATTAGTTTTTCAATAATTGAATAAATAAAAAAAAAAAATATATATATATTACTGATGCTGTTGATTACTTGATACCTATCTTAAAAGGCAGCTCGCATTAATACCACTAGGGTATACCTGAATTATTAGATACTGTTAGCGACAAGGTCTCTAACGGGTTCGAAAGCAAACGGGCTAAAGGGAGATAACACAGATTTAGTATTTTATGAGT